TAGGCGCTACCTGGCACCAACCCACACTAACCCCTCTCGCCCCCTACCCCCCCCCCCCCCCCGTGTGACTGAAATGCTACGCTGAGGGCTTCGTCTAGCAGTGGATTGATAAAGGGCCGAACATTGGACGCCATGTTATTTATTTTTTATTTTATAATGTTGTATTTTTATTATTTTATTATTTCCCTTCTACGTGACTTTACCGAAAGAACCAAGAAGATTGTACGCCATTATAAAATCAGTTTTACGGAGCTATACTCTTAGGTTTTTTCGGTAAAGTCACGTAGGTAACAAAAAAAATAATTAATGACAGTAAAATTTTATTATTTAACTTTTATTAATTTAAATTTAATTTTATTTAATAAAAAGTAAAATATTATTATTTTGCTTTCATTCATTTTAATTACATTTTTTACCTACGTGACTTTACCGAAAAAACCTAAGAGTATGAATCCTTGCAGTCACGAAAGCTTCAAATCTAGAATTTACGGAGCTATTTGAAGAATAACGCAGTGAGAATGTGCCGTTTGAGGCCTTGTCTTTTAGCTATGGATACAACCGCCGAGTATACATTTCTTCTTACAGCAAATGATAGATTACGAATATAAAAGGTGATTATGTACGCTTTCATTTCAAGACGGAAAACGCTGACTTCCTGTTCTACTTTTGCAAGTCTTGGATTGTATTCCGCATTTATTGAGCCACTTATCCTATTTGTAATATTAACACACTCGTTAAATGCGAAGATATTTATTATTTTTAAAATACAGTAAAAGTATATATTTTTTCTTCTTGGTTCTTTCGGTAAAGTCACGTAGAAGGGAAGTAATAAAATAATAAAAAGGAAACATAATAAAATAATTCTCACGACGTTGCGGCCACAACGCAAGCAGCCGTCCTCAGGTGAAGCCCAGCGTCTGAATGATTCAGACGCTGTCTCCCTGACAGACCTGGTCTTCACCTGAGGACGGCTGCTTGCATTGTGGCCGAAACGTCGTGAGAATTATTTTATTATGTTTTATTTTAATTATTTTATTACTTTCCTTCTACGTGACTTTAGAAGATGAATCCCTGCAGTCACGAAAGCTTTAAATCGAAATATATATTTTTTGTGAATACATTGCACGCACATGTTGCGGAACAGATGTACATTTTGTCCCAATATTAAGACTTATAATCTTGAGCAGTGTCAATGATTGTGAGCACACTGCACGAGTGACCCAGTTCCATTCCTAGTCAAGACGGATGTCAGTAGCATCAAAAGTGGTCCTGAGCCTCTCTTTCACCAACCCGCATTGACCATAGTGGCGAAGTATGGTCAAACATTTCCGATATGATATAGGGAGGCCTTCTTATTCAATTATGTGTTTATTCACGTAACTATCAAGGATTACATCCAGAAAAGAATAAGGAGTTTATCTTGTAGTGCAGGCACGATCCAACCTGGTTTTGCAACACACATTTTAAAATTCATACTTATGATGAAGTAAAACAATTGTAAGTGTAATGCAATGTATAAACAGCTAACGCATGCAAAGTTAATACTTATTGCAGTGGTATCAGGTCTCCAAGTTCTATTTTTTGTCCATATAATTCTACTTTACTTGATCATAATGTTTACAAAATATATACAATTTTCCGGGATGGAAAAACAAATGATACACCGTTCAAAACACATTTATTATTATCACAAACATTACACATTTGTTTTTCTATCGAATAAACGCATTTAGAATCAAGTGAATCTTACAATAATACCATAACCAGTATCTGTGGTCAGTCCACTGCTGAATGAAAGCCCCTTCTCCCCCTACCAAAGCTAGAGTCAGGATTCAACTGTGAAAACGGTGCATAAATCAGGGCTCAACAACTGCCTGTGGGTGGCTACTGAGAAACAACTGCATGTTGATAGGAGAGTTAATTAACACATTTATCTGACTAAATACATGGAAATGTTGTATGAGAATACACTACTTACTAATAGGGTTTTTCCCCTTTTATCTGGCAAACAAAACTGACACCTTTTGCAAGGAATCATGCTTACATTAACCACAATACCTGCAGTCAAATGCAAACAAAAAACAATACTCTGATAATTTATGCATTGTCCTTGAAACTGATTGTTCCACACGAGAGACAGCTTTCTTTAGAGCCTAGTTTCATATGGTGTTCGACCAGATGACGCCAAAAGGCGCAAAAGGCGCCAATATACTACATCTCTGGAATCTTAAAATGCAACTCCAGTGTGTGCCGCAAACCCACAGCTGGCGACGATGCTTCGAGAAGAAATGTTTACCACTCTGGAAAAAATAACGTGTATTTATTTACACCCAAATTTGGCATCTGCCCACGGATGTTCCCAAATAACAAACGCACAAATGGTCACGTGTTGCATATATTCACATCGACATTGCGCACAACACCAGTTGCGACAGGTTAGAAATGTTTTTTTTTTATAGAATCAGATTTTAATGTGTACGAACGCTGCCACTGGATAGCATGGTTAGCGCACTGGTGTAAGGGTCGCAGGTTTGATCTCCATGCATGGTAGGTGGGGTGGGGAGTCAAGTCTCTTAAAATGCCCCACCACCACTGTCCACCCAGCAACATGAATGGGTTCACCAACAATTATCATATTTTGCTACTGGCAAAGGAGGTTCCAATGGTGTAAATGCTTAACCCGAGCTCTCATACTCTGATGGTGCATTGTCTGTGAGTTGTGCGCCTTTTGGCGTCATCTGATCCAACACCATGTGAGACTAGGCTCTAAGAAAAGCTGTCTCAGGTGTGGACCAATAAACTTCAAGGACAGTGCATACATTTTCAGAGTTGTGTTCTTTGTTTGCATTCTGACCACAGGTATTGTGGTCAATGCAAACATGACTCCTTGTAAAAAAGGTGTCAGTTTTGTTGCCAAAGGGTAAAAAACCAATAATCATATTTTGCTACTGGCAAAGGAGGTTCCAATGGGGTTCACCACAGTTAGCCAATGGGCAGGTCGCCTGCAGTGGTGTAAAATGCCGGTTACTCTCACCTCTCTCAAGACGTTTGGCAAGCGTGGAAGAGTAGGCAAAATAAAACACACACAGACACTCTCTTCAGTGCGATGATTGTCTGGACATCTTCTCGAGTGGAGACCCTTTCGCCACCAGCGGCACGAAGGAGCTATTACAAAGGCTGCACATTCATTCACTTTTGACCTCCCGTCGAGGTACATATGACAGGGTGGTCCAGATGCCTTGTGACATCTTAATTAATTGACCCCTGACATTTCTGTTTTAAATAAACCTTACTTTCAAATGATTAAGTTTTAGGACATTCAAATTGGGGTTACCAAACATCTGGACCACACTGTGACGCACCCCATACCGGCACAATTATTACTCAGTTCAACCAACAACGTAAGAAGTAAGTGGAATTTCCAATGCTGATGTTCAGAATCAAACACGTGACCAAATACGGTTCGCAGATAAATATTACATCAGACTTTACCCATCGTGGGGAATGCAATTAAAACCTCCAATAAATGTACGGACCATGACCGTCATGAGAAATCAAATGAAAATGTAACTCTTCAACAAAAAAAATCTATGCATATTCTACTTCCAGATTAGGTCGACTACAAATGGTTCTCGTACTAGCTGGAAAAACTGAGTGGGAGTGTATAAAATGAGAAGAGCTCAAGTTGTAAAGTGAGATGCTGCAGATGTGGCCACTGATGGGGCCTAATGCAGAGTGCGTGCGGCAAAATCTGCTTAAAGCCAAGCAAACATGTTGGACATTAATCATTCACACTTGCAGAAAATGTGTGTGTGTGGTTTTTTTCTCCCTTTAAAGCCAGCCCCTCAAATGTAATCTGTGCACGCCACGGGAAAAAAATGCATTCAACACAAAGGCGAGAACACTCCCCATAGGTTGACCACGTGTCGTCCCTTTGCAAGGAAACTACCCTCGGGCACTATCGCCACCTGCTGTCCAGAACGACGGGCACGAGACGTTACACACGAGAGGGCGTGCGGTCCTGGCGACGGCTCACAAACTAAAATTGTTTTTAAATGCCCACGGTTTAAATGTCTCTCACAACGGTAGTGTTGTAGTAATAGGTTTTTACCCTTTCAACTGGTACAAAAACTGACACCTTTATACAAGGCATCATGTTTGCAATAACCACAACACAAGCAGTCAAAATGCAAACAAAAGAAACAACTCTGATGATAATGATATGCACTGTCCTTGAAGTTGATTGGTCAACACCCGAGACAGCTTTTCTTAGAGCCTAGTCTCCATTGGTGTCAAAAATGTCAGCTCGATTGGATCCCGGGAAGTGGGTCAAAAAACGACCGAAATATTTGCACGGTCGTAAGCGCGCAAGCAAGCAAGCAAGTGAACTTAATATAAAGATTTAAGAATATCGGGCAATGTGTCAAAGCGCGTGCAGTTGAACCCAAAAACCCATCGGAGGACTAAACAGCAAAAGTCGAGGCGGGTGTAAATCCATGTTCTGTGGCCAGGTGCAAATTTCTACAGGTGTACCTCTACAGGAAATTACACCCAAGACAACTAGCTCGCTAACTTTATTATATCGTGTTCATAATAAGCCAGACAACGGCGGCGATAATTACCAATTGGAAACAAGAAAATCGGGTTTCAAAGTGTTGTAGTTTCAACCTGTGTTCCGTTGATTGCGTCTGTAACAGGGTATTTTTTTTCCACAGACACTGAATACGATCACACATCTTTCCACTATTCAATCTCAGAGGTATTTCTATTCATTCTGAATCCTGATATCTTAACATTCTCATGTGCGGGTGTCATTGGTATATGTTTTTCTCATACAGGTCTGTGCATATTACATATTTGAACATGCATTTAAAGGGCTTTTTTTTCATAATTTTTTTTCATAATTTTTACTACAAAATCTCTATATATCCCAATGCAAGATGTTGATACAATTCTGTTTGTGTGTGTAGTATTAAACTATAAATTAGAGTGACCAGATATAAAGGTATCAAATGTTTTATTAGTTTTCAGATTAACATGGGTGCTTATATTTAAACATATAACATATAAGTACCTACTTTCATGCAACTAGAAAAGTGTTTAACAAGTAATAATTTTTTAAACTAACAATGACGATAACATTCATTTAAAAAACCCAAAAATGCGTAAAACTAACCATATGCATTTTGTAAAAAATAACTCAAATCTTCATCCCAATTACATTATCATTATCAACTTTCGTCAGTTCACTGCCAAATAAAGGTCTCCCCAACCATCCGCCAGCTCTCCTGCGATATACCAAATGTATTATTCCACGTATAAAATTGTCCGATATGTTAATTAACTTTCACCTTAAAGTAAAAATCACTCTTAAAAGCATTTTTACGTATGGATGTCAAGTGGCAGCTGTCACTAGGAGTGACATTATTGACAAAAGCAAGCATGCTACAGGTACATATATAAACACTCACTAATTGGCTGAAAACATCTTAATGCATAGAGAACTGCAGACCATTGACGGCTCGCCACTTGGCAGTCTTCCAGCTTGTTTGTGGTTCTTCAGCGATTGTGAGCTGCAATTTGCATCAATGATGCTATACAAAACTAGTAATTAGATTGTTTGTATCATTACTCATGGCTTCTATGTGTAATATACTGTACCTTTAATATAATAACAATAATTGTGCCTCCGTACTATATTTATTAATTGTATTTCAAGACGTTTTTTCTTAACATCGTGTGTTTTGTCGAATGTTACTCATTACAGTTGAACCGGCTCATTGTAAAATTAATAGCTAAGTCACTTAAGACCAATTACCCGATGGAATTTTCACAGGATACTCCAGCTTGCATTGGCTAATCTCTCCCTGTTGGCCAGAGATCAGGTTGAGTGGCCTTTTTTGATAATTTTCAATCATTTCCACAACACTGTCAAATATCTGTAAAAAAGGAAGAAAGCACACATCACCGTATGTCATGGTTTCATAATTATGATGATGATTCAACACCTTTTTTTTAATCAACATCAGTAAAAATCAACTGGAAAAAACTCAAACATATACACACATCTCTGTACAATGTACAGGGTGGTCTAGATATATTCTGACCCACATTTAATTACCTAAAACATAATACGTTTTAAGTGAGGTTCATTTAAAACAGAAATGAATATGCAAAGGGAAAACGATGTTAGGGGTCAATTCATTGAGGGTCACCTTACATCTGGATTACCGTGCACATGTTGATGTCAATGCACTGCTGGCAAGGGCCTTCCCCACACACTGCGGGCCGTGAGGGATGTCTGACCACACTTCACCGCGCTGGTCAGTGCGTGTCGGGGAAGGTAGTGGGGGTACAGGATGACAGTGGACTTGCTACGCTGCCCTGGATTGAGCACAGCGCCTATCACTGCACCTGTTCTTAGCGCATGAGGGCCACCCATCCAACACCTATCCAGGCTCAAACCTTCTCGGATCTGACAAAATTGGGCAAAGGATCTTACAGGCGACCCCCCGCCCCCCGCACCTTCGACCTAATTGGTTCCTGGATAAGTCGGGGGTATGTTAATTATGGCACCATTGCTCTTCACACACACACACGCACGCACAGAGATTCCCCCACGTAGCTGAATTAGATTGTTGGGGAAAGTGCCGTTAACAATTTTCGGAATATGTTCTGCGTAAGCCCAATTTACCTTTCGAAACAGTCAACAACAAGATGTTGGGGGGGGGGGAGTCATGTATAACAGGTTCGTGAATAACATTAATAATAGTTGGAGGTACACAGCTGGAACAAAGAAAAAACTACGGAGTATTTAGAATGTAGGGTGGCATTGCAGGTGAACCGGGATCGCATTTACTAAACAGAGAGGGGAGGAACAGCAGGCAAGAGTGCTTTTGTAATATTAATTGAAAATTCAAACTCGCACACCAACGTCCCTCAAAAAAAACAATTACAATATTACCCATCATGCCATGTGAACCTGAAGCACGGACTGTGACAAAGGAGATGTAAGAACATCTGAATAGCACACAAAGGGGCAAGGAGAGACACATGCTGGAAATAAAGAGTGACAGACAGAGGAATATTCATAATAAAAGTTTTTTTTAGGTTAGATTTAAAGCTTTCGCGACTGCAAGAATTCATACTCTTAGGGTTTTTTGGTAAAGTCACGTAGGTAAAAAAAAAACTTATAAAAAAGATTAGAAAAAATATTTTATTTCTATTATTTTTTTCTATTTTTTATTAGTTATTTTTATTATTTATTTTTTCCCAACGTGACTTTACCGAAAAAACCTAAGAGTAAAAAGTTTTTGGGTTAGATCGTGTAAAAATAAATGTGTCGTTAACCCACCACCACCCGACACAGTCAATTAATAAGGTTTGTCACGTAAACAATATTGTCCCAATTAGTTACTACTTCAGCAAACCGGTGTGTTGGAGAGTAAACCCACAACATCTCCAATTTGAGGAATACGTGGGTCAGAAATCATTCCAGAATTCATCACCCAATGTATTCTTACCTCCTCCCCTTCCTTCTCATTACCCAGAGCGTACTTGGAAACACCCTCCATCCATCGAATTCTCAGGTTGTACACCGTGCCTTTGTAGAGTAGCGAAAGCGTGTACGGTTGATCCTTGCAAGCCTGAGCACTTTTCCGCACCAGGAAAGCGCCGCTCTGCAGGGCATGCGGTACAGGATCATGAAACATTTATACACTTTAAGAATCTAAACGTGTGAATACAAATACGGTACCGCCGATATGTTCCAGCAAGAGTATGCGGGTCTCTGGAGCCTGGCCTGTTGTGTATGTTTACGGCTCTGCACAACATTGTAGGGTGGACCCAGAATTCACTTCTCGTGTGGCCCAATGGCTGTGGGATTCACTTCAACTGAACGTATTCTTGGTTTCATATTCTTGGTATTTTTCGGTAAAGTCACGTGGGTAAAATTTTTAAATTATTAAAAGTAAAATAAAAATCACGACGTTTCGGAGGCAACACAAGCTTCCGTCTTCAGGTGGAACCGTCACAGCACGATAGCTGCTCTTACTTGATACAGCTATCGTGCTGTATATGAATCCTTGCAGTCACGAAAGCTTCAAATCTAGTATTCTTAGTTCTTTCGGTAAAGTCACGTAGAAGGGAAACAATTAAATAATAAAAATATTAAACAATACAATTCTCACGACGTTTCGATTGCAACACGAGCAATCGTCATCAGGTGTGAAACCCACAGCAACAAAATTTGAAAACCACAGCAAGAAAATGTGCTGTGGTTTTCACACCTGATGATGATTGCTTGTGTTGCAATCGAAACGTCGTGAGAATTTTATTGTTTTATATTTTTATTATATTATTGTTTCCCTTCTACGTGACTTTACTGAAAGAACCAAGAATATGAATCCCTGCAGTCACGAAAGCTTTAAATCAAAATTCAACTGGACGCTCGCTGTGCTGACTCCCTCACTTCATTAAAATCCCGCCTTAAGACGCAAATTATTTTTAAGGGAATTTTTTGTACTTATTTTAATAATTCGTTTTTGGGGTTGCATTTTATTGCTGTAAGCTTGCATGTTTTTTGTGAGTTATTTTGTGTTCTGTACAGCACCTTATGACCTCTGGGTCGAAGGTGTCTTACAAGTGTAAATTATTATGCTCCAGATTATAAAATTATTAGAGGGGGGTGATTACGCATTGATTCAGATTAGCTGCATACTAGGCATTTTAAATGAATTGAGTAGCTTATTAAAGAAAAACTGATGTATGGGTGTAGTACAATAGCGGCGACATGATCTTTAGAGCCCATGAATAATGCGTACCGCTAAACTACAACATTAAATTTTTGTTTCTTTTGTACAGTCCAGTTTTCGCCACGAGAATAAATCAATCACTTTGCATATAATTTACAATTAAACATGATTAATCATGTATTGCACGCACAACAACAGATTTCTACTTGCAAATTAATTGGGAAATCCCCGTGGCAACATCTCCCCTTTACTGACAGCTTAATCCCCATTTGCAGGACATTTTTGCATGCAGCTCACTTCACATAGAGCTGTCACTGGGGGTCACCTTGGTTAAACTATCGCAGGGCGTTGGAATGACCGTGATGAGATGTAATGCAAGGTGCTTTGATCTGCTCAGAAACTTAAGCAATATCTATCAATGCAAATCCTCATCTTAAGTAATCTATTAACCGTTACATGCCTATAATTTCATGGTATTGCAAGTAAGTGTAGAAAACTAATAGTATGAAAAAAACAAATGCAACTAATGTCGCAGATTGTACTGAAGATAAAATGAAATCATACCTTTCCCATTTTCTCCAAGGCCTTCGCAGCTTTAGGTCGATCACAGCTGTTTGTGTACCAGGTCTGAGAGTCCATGTCCTAAAGATGTAAAAGATGACAATCATTCTGAGTCCGTGGACTAGAGCAGAAATCGCTACTGCCAAAGATAGCAAAAATTAAATTTCTATTTAAAGCTTTCGTGACTGCAGGGATTCATCTTCTTGGTTCTTTCGGTAAAGTCATGTAGAATGGAAATTATAAAATAATAAAAACAAACAAAATAATTCTCACGACGTTTCGGCCACAACGCAAGCAGCCATCCTCAGGTGAAGACCAGGTCTGTCGGGGAGACAGCGTCTTTTTTATTATTATTTTATTATTTCCATTCTACGTGACTTTAGCAAAAATTAGTCGTACCGGTTTTTTTATACGAACCAATACTCAAGATTTACTTGATAAGTATTATTGTTGACCAACAGCCAAGCGCCCTTAAAAGATTTAGTAAAATAGTATTGTTTTTCCATATTTCAATAGCTAAACAGATGTATAGATTAAATATATACACGTAAAAATGCCAGAGTTAAAATACTTGTGTTTTCGTATTTTGATCCAGAATTTAAGAACTGCCAATTGTCACATACTTACATTTTTGTTTCTTAATTTCATCATATTATTCAAGGAATCTGTAACACAAATATAAAATATTTCTAAGGCAAAACAATACAAAAAAACAGAAACTTATGTCTAGAAACTTAAATATCTCATTTTTCATCATCAAAGTTACATGTAACAACAATACCACAAAAACAATCCATGCACATGTCATTTATAATAATGCTGCTAGATTCAAAGATTAAACAGATTATTTCGTATTTTAAGCAATGTTGTAAAAAAACTCATGAATCTGTCCAATAATAAATTTTGCGTAAACAATTTGAAACCTACTATGCGCTAACATCCTATTAACTATGCGGGTGTTTCAATAAATAAACAGCTTACTGCTTCTAATGCACAATTGTGCAAGGGCACCGTCATTTTGTTTGTTGTAGTACGGAGTTAGACTGATGGCTTTAATCTAAGTTGTCTTGTGGTTGTTGGTGTTGTTTGATTTGCATCCCACTGGGATTTTTGCACACAGCGTTGGTGTACGGTGCTTTTTCTGGAAGAGTTTTGCAGTTTTTTCCTGAATTTTTCTGTTTGCGCATAGTCACTTTAAGATGTTTTCTTGTTCATGTTTTTGTTTGTTGCGGTTGCACCCGATTCAAGTGCGAATGGCTCACAGGGCTATACCAAATAAACTGAAACTAAACCTGAAATAAATAAATAAACTGAAATATTTTACCATGTGCTACATTTCCTATCTCGTGGTTATAATCTGTACACACACATACATAGCGTATAAATAAAATGAAGATTATGACCAAACCATGTGGAATATGCCCAATCCCTTCAGACCTCAGCAGCTTAGCAGGGTTTAGCCTGGATAGTGCTTGGATGGACAGCCGTCTTGCACGAGACCGGTTTAGTAGATGTAGTAGCAGTTGTAGAGGGCAGTAGAGGACAGTGTAGAAAGATCTATTTTAAAATCCTTTATATTAAGTTCGCTTGCTTGCTTGCGTGCTTGCTTGCTTGCTTACGACCGTGTAAATCTTTCGGTCGTTTTTTAACCCACTTCCCATGATCCAATCGAGTTGACATTTTCCACACAGACTCGTCGTGCGTGACAATTAATGTTCGTGAAAATTTTTTTCCAAAATTTTACACTTTATAGGACAAAAATATTATATTTAATTACCAATTGCTTAATGGTGCAATGCAATCATCTGACCCATAGGTGGCAGCCATCTCAAGCCAGAGGACGAGAGGACTCTAGCCGCCACGCATATAAAGTATTTATAGTGAAAAACTTTGTTTTTACGGGTTTACTTGTTTTATCGATGGGACCTTCCTGCCAGTATCAAACTGATCAAAGAATAAGATATAACTGCTCAACCCGATATATGAAAAGTTGACACGTGTATTGCCTGTGTGCTGTTCACTTTTTGGTATTCTCTGGTCTAACAACTGGTGATACAAGCCCATAAAGAAGGCTGTCTCTGGATTAGGCCAATCACTTTCAAATAAGACAATGCATATATTGATTTCAAGCTTTCGTGACTGCAGGAATCCATACTCTTTGGTTCTTTCGGTAAAGTCACGTAGATATAAAATAAAATAAAAATTTCTTTTATTTTAAATAAAATACCTAATTAAAATTTTTATTTTATTCTATACCGACGTGACTTGACCGAAAGAACCAAAGACAATGCATATATTATCAGACCTTTTTTGTGTGCATATTTTTCCACAAGTACGTGTGGTTAACGCAGACTTGATGCCGTGCAGCAGGTATCTATTTGGTGTTTGAACACCTTAACACCTAATTCTAGATTTGAAGCTTTCGTCACTGCAAGGATTCATACTCTTAGGTTTTTCGGTAAAGTCACGTAGGTAAAAAATAAATAATAAAAATATAATTGAAATAATAATAGAAATAAAATAATAAATCACAATTATTTTATTTCTATTATTATTTCAATTATATTTGTACTATTTATTTTTTTACCTACGTGACTTTACCGAAAAACCGAAGAGTATCTTAACACCTGTGTAATTCCCACAAAGGATAAAGCCTACGCTTATCTATGTATTGGTCTGCGCTCTCCCCACCTTCACCAACCGGCACTGACCAGCGTGGTGAAGTATGGTCTACTAACACTCATGTCCTGCACGGCGTGGGAATGCCGTCATCCAGCAGTGGATTGACACGCGGGCTTCACGCGTGCGTGTACAAGGGTCATGTCCTATTTACTCCAGAATAAAACAAATATATCGACCTGTGTTACAGAAGTATATTTAAGTACTGAAGCACCCTGAATCGACAGGATATGAGCCAATATAGTACGGGGTGGTCCAGATGTATTGTGACCCCCAATTAATTGACCCGAACATTTTATTTCCCCTTCATATTTATTTTTGTTTCGAATAAAACTTACTTTTAATTTTAAAAAATACGTTTAAAACATTAAACGGCGGTCACAAGACATCTCGACCAGCCGGTACATTCCAAGAAGTATACAAATAAATGATTCATAAATGTATGTTTATTTTTCTAAAACATCCTTGTATAATTCTATACTATACAGGTACCCAAATAGTCCTATGATATTTGGTTATCACAATTCCTAATCAGCAGCAAATGTTTTCACGTATTTCTCGAGATAATGTGATTACGTTCTTCGACTGTATCTTTATACATTACGAGGAAAAATTGCGAGAATAATAATGATATGAGTAATATTTAAAAATACTTTTTTAAAGACACGCTTTAATGAAATGTACCCTACTCGTAATGGCAGAAATCCACGACTCCAGAAAGTGGCCGCAAAGCTTGCCATAACGCAAGGGGCCGTGGTGATGTACAGCCAACGTCAGTTGAGCGTGGACAATTAGACCCAAGCCGAAACATAACATTAAAAAATAATGTTAAAAAATATATTTTTTTTGATAGAGTATAGTATTGTCATCATTATGACATAAGTGTGCAGTCGATGCCACATTGGGAAGTGGGTTAAAATTGAGTTAGAAGATTTGAGGATGCAACAACAACGACAACAACATACATAGTGAGTTAAATAAAAGTGTGTAGATATAATTACCAGCTAGTGCCAGTCGTCCATTTCTAAAAAAAAAAATAAGGGGAATAAGTTAATAACATTGTCATGTAAATTCCATGACATTATCACGTACCAGGTTTGTTTCAATGTTGAAACCTCTTACAACGTGTACATATCTTCTTGGGTCTTTCGGTAAAGTCACGTAGAATGGAAATAATAAAATAATTAAAATAAAACATAATGAAATAATTCTCACGACGTTTCGGCCACAACGCAAGCAGCCGTCCTCAGGTGAAGAACAGGTCTTTCAACCCGAATTCTGTCTCCCCGATAGACCTGTTCTTCACCTGAGGACGGCTGCTTGCGTTGTGGCCGAAACGTCGCGAGAATTATTTTATTATGTTTAATTTTATTATTTTATTATTTCCATTCTACGTGACTTTACCGAAAGAACCAAGAAGATGAATCCCTGCAGTCACGAAAGCTTTACATCGAAATTTAACGTGTACATAGTGCAACGTGATGTATTTCAATGATTATAGAATAAGCAAATCAATACGGTGACTCACTTTTCTCCAGCTGAGTTAGTAGGAGAAGACGCTTGTGCACTGACATCCGACAGTTTTCTTGGTCCTGCAATGCATAAAGGCCATTTTCAGTTGCAAGTAGGGAAAAAAGTTCATTTTAGCAAAATAGCGGAAAAAACAACTCATTGTACAGCTCCGATAAAAGTAAAATGAACATGAATTTTACGTTTTATTTGCGTCATCATCATCATCATCAGCCATGTTCAATATACTGTTAGACAGAGGTGGGACAAAGTCATTGTTATGCAAGTCCAAGTCGAGTCTCAAGTCATCAAATTCATGACTCGAGTCTGACTCGAGTCCAAGTCACATGACTCGAGTCCACACCTCAGAGGTGGGACAAAGTCATTGTTATGCAAGTCCAAGTCGAGTCTCAAGTCATCAAATTCATGACTCGAGTCTGACTCGAGTCCAAGTCACATGACTCGAGTCCACACCTCTGCTGTTAGATGAAGGTCTCCCCAAGCCGCTGCTACCGCTTTCGTTTCTGTGATGGAATCATCCGCCTAGCACTTGCAAACAAACTCATTTCATCTCTCCCATAATTTCTGTGGACTTACTCTCGGAGGCGTTCCATTCCCTGCTTTTTGATTGAAAATCAATAGGTCACAACCGTTGGAGGCAGTCACAATGTGAAACATTTTTTTTTTTTACAATTTCCCATTTCTGTGTTTTATGATACTTTCGTTTTTCATCCCAGAGTGGTCAAAGTGGGAGAATAAAAAAATATAAAGCATTATTGCTCCGTCTTGGTTGATAACATTCTGATCTGTCGCATGTTCGATGAATGCATTCCCTCATAACTGATGCCACACATCCCGTATTTGTACTTTATTTTTAAAGTTAATGTTTGCGATGTGGGATGGCGCATTTTGAGCTTGGCAACTGTGTTAGGCCTCACCTCTGTGAGAATGGACAGGACAAAGTGTGGTATTTCCATCAAACGTGGGTAATGGCCAGATAGACCAGCGGTCATCGGTGGCTCGTGACCAGTTCAATGTGCGCTACATCTCTGCCTTGGGTTGTCCATTCTCAAGCGGCGTGCACAAGCGAATTGAATTATCTACAATCTTTTTGGTTCTTTCGGTAAAGTCACGTAGAAGGGAAATAATAAAATAATAAAAATAAAACATAATAAAATAATTCTCACGACGTTTCGGCCACAACGCAAGCACCCGTCCTCAGGTGAAGAACAGGTCTCATTCAGACGCTGTCTTTCTGACAGACCTGTTCTTCACCTGAGGACGGCTGCTTGCGTTGTGGCCGAAACGTCGTGAGAATTATTTTATTATGTTTCATTTTTATTATTTTATTATTTCCCTTCTATGTGACTTTACCGAAAGAACCAAGAAGATGAATCCCTGCAGTCACGAAAGCTTTAAATCGAAATTTATCTACAAGCTCTCCGATGTGTATTCCGGTTGTGCCGTGCGTTGTTCAGCGAAATGTCCGGCGTTTCACCACCGTTGGTCCTCGGAGCTTTCTCAGGGACTGATTCGAAGGTAAAAAAATAAAAATTAATAAAAGTAAAATTAAAATAAAATTAAAATCACGACGTTTCGGAGGCAACACAAGCCTCCGTCTTCAGGTGGAACCGTCACAGCAACGCTCGCTGTATCATTTACTTGATGTGCGCTATTTGATACAGCGAGCGTGCTGTGACGGTTCCACCTGAAGACGGAGGCTTGTGTTGCCTCCGAAACGTCGTGATTTTTATTTTCTTTATATTCTACTTTTATTAATTTGAATTTTTTACCTACGTGACTTTACCGAAAAAACCCAAGAATATGAATCCTTGCAGTCACGAAAGCTTCAAATCTAGAATTACAAAGCTGGCCTGTGCTTCCTTGGGATGCATAAAAATCGTTTAGGTTAAACGTCTTTTGGCATTTCCACTGAGCTAAGAATTGCTGAATCGAAGCTTCCAGAACGTGGAACAAGACCTCGCACATTGCGCCGAACAGCTTACAGCCACAAGCGCGACAAGCCACGCGGTGAGATTGATTTATATTTGCAATGCGAAGGCGATCGGTGATAATGCACCACTGCTGGGATCTCATAAGATCCAGTTCTACAGCAACGCTGCATGTCTCCCATCACGTGGAAAATATGCTGATGAAGTCACTGCCATTGCATGCTGCCATACTGGTTACTCAAATAAGCCATCTGCGTGTGTGTCACCCGAGACAAGAAAAAAAATCAAGGCAGACTTTGTAGGCTCACGTACGGCGAATATGAGCAATAAGCATCGCGTGGTAAAATAAATTACCGCAGTTATTTTTTTTACGACTGAAAGCAATATCCCTATAACAACTAGTACTCAAAGGCTTTTGCAATTGACCACTTATTATCACATGCAGTCGTGGTGGTTAGTGCACTGTGCTATGAACCCTGGAAACATTAATTTAATTCTCAGCCACAGCTGTCACCAGTGCTGAGTAATATTTTAGCTGGTTCTGCACACCGTCCTTGACAAACCTGCACTAACCAGCATGGTGAAGTATGGTGAAAACACCCCTACAACCAACATGGCATGGTGAGGACTTCATCCGGCAGAATAATGAACAAGGATGCTGCTGATAATGATAATTAAACGGGGACATATGGATTTTTTTTTATTAGTGATGGGCTGTAAATTATATATTTTAATCATTTGCGGTTTAACAAATACATTTTATATATGTAAAAAAATTGTAACAATAAATTCCCACCCCCCCCCCCCCATGTAATTGTAAAGTACGTACCGTTGGTTGCTTTTAACTTTCCTTTATCACCTCCCTTCCAAGACAAAACAAAATCCACACAGACATTTTTATAAACCATATTCAAATTGGGCGAAGACCCCGGGGCAGGCCCATGACACGTTAGCAGGACGATGTCGCTCGCCTGGCCTGGGAACCAGAGGTCGCAACCGGGTACCCGATACCCTACCCGGGTACGGGTACCCGTTTGCGACCCTGGTGCGGCCGGGTACGGGTACGGGTATGCCGTGAGTCACTGGTGAGTAACTGTCACTCATTTCCCAACGTCTTGTCTCTTCTCACAATTCAAGTTCCTAGAAACAACCCACCCGCACCTGCAACATGGCTTCATCCCAGAGGTCGCAATCAGGTACCTGATACCCGTACCCTACCCGTACCCGGCCGGGTACGGGTAGGGTACGGGTATCCGTTTGCGACCCTGGTGCGGCCGGGTACGGGTAAGGAATCAAAACCCGTTTGCGACCTCTGCTGGGAACGCCTGGAAATTCCCCAGGAAGAGCTAGAGTCTGTGTTTAGTAGTGTATAGTGTATAGTAATTTAGTACTGGAGTCTGTCGCCAGGGGAAAGGGAGGTCTGGACCGCCACTACTCAACACGCTGCCGCCACGACCCTCACCAGGACAAGCGGATTGAGAAACGAAGGAACAAACGATATTTAAATTGTTTACAAGTCACTACAATGACAATAATATAGTGTACGTATAGGCACAAAAATGAGCATGTTTGTTTTGTGAAATGTACCAGAGCGATTAGACCAGGAAGTTGGTTGGGAATGACCAGTTTGTTTGGAGTTGGCCCTATATAAAAACAAAATAAAAAAAATTAAAGATCACAGGATGAATACAAAACGTATTTTGTAATACATTTTTGTAAACTGAAACATTTCAGACATGTGCTATATGCAGATTCAATATGTAATAACTGTACTTTGTTAAAATCTATCCAAATGTGTGTGTGTTTACATTTATTAAAATGTGCACTTGTTTTCTTTTTTTACCCTGCATTTCTTCACAGTCATTGTTTTCTTCTTTCTTCAACGAGAGAGACACGAATATAACATGTTAATAAAATTGGTCAGAAACGCCACGTAACAATGTTAATATGTACCATACACTTTCAACAGAAGACGCATTTTAACGTGTTTTACGTCCATGCAATAACAAGAATCTCATTTTGCAAAGTGCATCTCCAAATTGTGTCATCTAAAATGACGATGTGCCCGATAACCACATCACTCAGAGCTGAACAGGGTTGAGCCCGGAGAAAGCCTTCACAAGTGGCCGCCGTTCAAGCCACAGGTGCTTGAAGCCAACTATGTGGCTACGTTGTAAGCGGGCAGCTGCCCAGCCAAATCCATTGTTGCATTGTGCTTTGCTCCAACACTGACGCTCCCTGACTTCACCAATGCACTGACCAGTACGCTAAAGTATGGTCAAGTGAGCCCCCATTGGTCGCATGACGTGGGGAGGCCTGTCATCCAGCAGCGGGTCGACTTAAGAGGCTGTAATTTGTACCTGTCCAAAATAAAAATTCGTTTTCACATGATACAAAACTAAGTTGTCTTCGGATAAGCGTGTACAAGGCACGAGTAGTGATGCTGGCACACAGCGCTTTGCACCTGTGTGCCATAACACATCGCTAAGCATGGAGAACTGGCATCCTCTGGAGGAGGGATATGTGTTTTGATAAAATATAAAGGCTCAGCCTTGCAATGCCTTGCTCATACTACTGCTAGCAGAAGGGGCCCCCTACTGGAGGTAGCCTCTATAGAGAGTCCCTCTGGAGGGTATTTGGCCTACTCTTCCACGCTGGCTAGAAGTAGGAGGACCCACAGTTTACCCCACCACGCTTGGGCAGTAGTGGGCGGGGGATGTAAGAAACTCGTCCAATTGTTTCAACTGCCAAGCGGGGAAATCGAATCGACGGCGTCAACCCGTGGAACCGTTCTTCCTTCCGATATTAGGAAACCCCCCCCCCCCCCCCCCCCGAAGCGACGCACTTTTACATAATCTCGATTGAAAACGCAACTTGAATTTCGATTTAAAGCTTTCGTGACTGCAGAGATTCATCTTCTTGGTTCTTTCGGTAAAGTCACGTAGAAGGGAAATAATAAAATAATAAAAATAAAACACTTAATAATTCTCACGACGTTTCGGCCACAATGCAAGCAGCCGTCCTCAGGTGACAGACCTGTTCTTCACCTGAGGACGGCTGCTTGCGTTGTGGCCGAAACTTCGTGAGAATTATTTAATGGTGTTGTATTTTTATTATTTCATTATTTCCCTTCTACGTGACTTTAACGTAACTTGCTTTCGAACTGATTTTTGTCTTTAGTTTGTTGTCCTTCCCTAGCACATCCGATTAGCGCGATTGGCTACGTACCGTGCAAAATAAGTACAACACACATCCACACAAATTCAGTGTGCTAACCATTACACCAGGACAGCATTCCCCCTCCTACCTGTTTCATAATTATCCCCAACACATGCTTCAGGATGGCTGGTTTAAACTGACGACACGTGGACATGGAGGGAAGCATGCAGGACCACCCAGTTACTCCATAAATCTCAAACAGCAATTAGGTGCATACCTTGATTGCTGGTGCCTGGTCACTTTTACGTCTGCAAAGACACGTGGGGATGTTATTACATGAGCGTAAAGAACAGTCTGAAATATGTAGACAAAAGTGCAGTTTCTGCTGGAGTCTATCCAGGCAAGGCAGGCGTTATCATTTGTCTATTTCATGATTTGGTTTACACTTGTGCTCTGGGAATCAATTTGCGGTACGAAGGAATGTCCTTTCAAAACTCTCAGAGTACAACGCATCACATTGTGTCAAAGAGTAGTCGTTAGGAGGTGACATTGGAAGTTGACAATGGAAGGTGATATTGGAAGGAGATATTGATAGGTGATATTGGAAGGTGATATTGATAGGTGATATTGGAAGGAGATATTGAAAGGTGATATTGGAAGGTGATATTGGAAGGATTATTGGAAGGTGATATTGGAAGGTGATATTGGAAGGAGATATTGGAAGGAGATATTGGAAGGAGATATTGGAAGGAGATATTGGAAGGAGATATTGGAAGGAGATATTGGAAGGAAATATTGCAGAGCTTTTTCTGAGATCACTTCCAATGACCCCTTATCCGCACATGCGGTGCTCCACTTTCCAACACATCCTGCTATACAGATGTTCATTGCACGGGCAATCAAACCATATTCATGTTTTTTATTCTGAACTTCAATTTTAGCCAAAATTAGCGGAAATTTCGAATTTCATTGTGTTTATTGTATCCGGTCATTGGTCCCTTAGCCGAGACCATAAACTCACGACACTTGAGGACCTGGCTTAATCTCAGGTGACCGAAACCTGTCACTGAACCAAGGATCTCAAGACTTTGACTTCAGGCTACCTCACTATCTCTCGGCCAAGAAGGATTTTAAAGACCCACGTTCTTTTTGTCGAGTTAAAGCTTTCGTGACTGCAGGGATTCATATTCTTGGATCTTTCGGTAAAGTCTCGTAGGAGGGAAATAATGAAATAATACAAATAAAACATAATAAAATTATCCCGACGTTTCGGCCACAACACAAGCAGCCGTCCTCAGGTGAAGAACAGAACTGTCGGAAAGGCCTCTCATTAGGACGCTGTCTTTCCGACAGCTCTGTTCTTCACCTGAGGACGGCTGCTTGTGTTGTGGCCGAAACGTCGTGAGAATTTTATTATGTTTTATTTGTATTATTTAATTATTTCCCTTCTACGTGACTTTACCGAAAGATCCAAGAATATGCACCTATATTTTTCCCGAAATAAATTAATTGCTCCACAAGTGCATGCACCCTTTTTTCCACAAACAACAGCCATTCCATGCAAGTGTCTAAGTCAGGGGTTGTGCGACCTGTCACAGACCAAGAGCCAACAGATACCCATGAGTTCTGCAAAGAGTCAAGAGTATATATATAGACAGCCTTGATTTGAATTTTTCGTGACTGCAGGAATCCATACTCTTTGGTTCTTTCGGTAAAGTCACGTAGGTGGAAAAATAAATAATACATCACGACGTTTCGATCGCAACACGAGCAATCGTCATCAGGTAGAGAAAGATACAACCAGTAGAACTGCTAAACAAGAAAGGGCTGTTGCAACAAGAGGTTATATATATATGTTTGAGGTGGGTGTCACCCAAGGGTAAGTGGGAAATAGAAATTAGTCCCATCGCCGTACACATGCGATCAAAACGTCGTGATTTTTCATGTATTTTTCTACCTACGTGACTTTACCGAAAGAACCAAAGAGTATATATCGACAGTTTTTGGCCCAACACGGCAGACTTTCATTCTTCTTTGCTACTGTGACACTACGTTCTACGTTATGGCCCCTTCGATAGAACGGCATCTGGCGAATTAAAGGGCCGCACGGGGCTTGGGAGATGCCGATTGGCCCACCGCTGGTCTACGTCATTATGTGCATTGCTTGGAAATTCCGTCACAGTTCCTATGATTGCTTTTTCATTGCTTTCATGGCTTTATTTTGGTGATTTCGAAAAGTGTATTGGTTTAGCCATGTTTGTTTGTTGTAGTACAGAGTTAGACTGATGGCCTTAATCTAAGTTGTCTTGTGGTTGTTGTTGTTTGACTTGCATACCACTGGGATTTTTGCACACAGCGTTGGTGTACGGTGTTTTTTCTGCAATATTTTGCTGTCTTTTCTTGGATTTTCTGTTTGCACTTAGTCACATATTCACTTTAAGATGTTTTTTGTTCATGTTTTTGTTTTTGTTGCGGTCGCACCCGATTCAAGAGCCGAATGGCTCACAGGGCTATACCTAATAAATGAACTTGAATTTGAATATCACAGGAGCGCACTAGGCCACGTTTTCGACGTCAGCTTTTGGAAATTCTGTGTCACCTCATCTTGGTCGTAACTCGGGCCCCTCTTTGTAGAGCAGCAACTATCAAACAAACTGCCTTTGGAGGAATCAGTGAGCTATCACACGTTTACACCATTGGAACCTCATTTGCCAGTAAAAAATATGATAATTGTTTTTTACCCTTTTATCTGGCAACAAAACTGACGCCTTTTGGCGTCATCTGGTCCAACACCATGTGAGACTAGGCTCTAAGGAAAGCTGTCTCGGGTGTGGACCAATAAAATTCAAGGACAGTGCATATATTATCAGAGTTATGTTTTTTTTTGCATTATGACTGCAGGTATTGTGGTCAATGCAAACATGACTCCTTGTAAAAAAGTTGTCAGTTTTGTTACCTGACAAAAGGGTAAAAAACTAATATCAGCTCACACGTTCTAAAAAAAAAACCCCACCGATGGCACGAGTTCGTTTCAACTCATATCTGTCACATCGAATGTGGAAGACAGCATCCACCGTAATCAATGGAGCACAGAAGTTGGACAAGCAATGGTCCTATCAGGTGCGCGTTTAAAAAGCGAGTCTTATTTATTCCGATGCACGGATGGAATTGTGCGCATAAAACGTGATTGTCTGTTGCTCATATACGTTCTGTGTAGCTGTTTCAAGCGACTCAAGCAGACACGGGAGGCTTTCAACTTTTTCAAAATCGAAAAATAAATCATCCGCTCTGGCATCGAATTGCAATCCCTGATCGTGACAATTAATCGATTCATTCCACACCTACTATGAAAGCATTCAGATCACCTCCATTGCACAACACAATTGAAACACTCTGATAATATATAGCCCTTTCTTAATCCATTAGCAGATGAAGTCCTCCACTTGTCATGTCAGTGTTGGGAATTGGTCGGCTATACCTCACAGGTTGGTTCAGATATCACATGCTCCTCATGTTCGCCATGGCCGGGAGTTAAACTCTGGTCGCCAGGTTTGCAATGCAGTATGCTAACCACCGTGCCACCGTTGCACAATGTGGTACATAAACTCTTACTGGATCATTCATCCTTGGCCCCGAGAGTCATATACATTACTCAAAAGCACTACAGCATTGGTTGAGAATTTTATGCAAGCAATTATAATCAAGAGGATCATTGAGCCAATTATGTTACCACTTAAATTCATCACGTGGGCTTGTGCTCCGACTACAGTAGGGCAGTATTACAATGACCCAGAACATTTTTGATACGGTACGTACTAATGTGCATTGTTCGTGCATGGATAATTTTATTGCGCTGTACCTATTTAGTGGCAGAATGATGGAATAAATAGCCACAGTACAATATCATGTATCCAATTAGTTGGGGACTAATGTGTGGATGGACATGTGAAATATCGGACGTATGAACATCTCTATAAAATGACAGTTACACCACGCACAAATACTGCATTAGGTGTGGGCAATAAATTTGTCATGACGGATATGTGATGGTCGGATATGTGACATTGTACCGTACATGAAGTGGAATACAGTTTATTGCTGCGCTTGTAAATTGAAAGAAGCTGTGATTTCAGAGTGGCTGACAGTAGTACAAAATATAATTATTTAAAACAGCATTTATTATTTTAGCAACCTACCCAGGATTTTGTCCAATCTTTGGTCTGCCACTCTGAAAGTAAGACAATGACAAAAAAGATTAGCGAATCATCGGCTTTCCTGTTTCTAAATTAAAACTTTAAAATGAATACGTTATAAAAAAATGCGGTTTGATGTGGATGTTTGTGTCACGGCAATAACATCATTCCCACCTCTGGAACAGGCGGGCGATATTCTGCAAAATATAGAGAGTGATCCAAATGAATTCAACAAAACCATCATTGTAATCTGGAATCAGGCACTTCATGACAATCTTTGATCAAATATTTGAAGGTAAAAAAAATATATCATCCTACATCTTATATGAGCATGTTCCGTGTTGAAAATAAATAAAACAGTGTGAAAGAATTCTATTTTATGAAAAAAAACTAATACGGGTGTTTTTCGTTTCAAATCCCTACGACATTCATAACATTTTAACTTAAAAAATATCATTTACGGAAGTTGAACGCTGCAAAACCCTTGTTTAATAACACTTCACACGTAAAATCCAACTCATAATCATTTCACGCACGGGTGTAATTCGAATGTAGAAAACAAGCAAGCTTGCACAAATACCTGAATTGATTTGCTTGGTGCCACCTCCAGGGATTGGTGGCTTTTTTGGCACCTGTGGATTCTTTGGATTTTGATTGCACACTTTTCTTGCCGCAGGGATATCTTGATTGGCCAGCGTCGGCACAAAACCTTGCCTGGGGTTGACTGGATTAGATGCGGGATGGCTTGCAATGGACACTGGAGGTCTGAAATCTGGGTTTTTTAAAGCAGGGGGCCTGGGTGGATCTGGGGTTACAATACCACGGCCCCTTTCATAATTCGCTTGCATTGGCTTTAAACTCCTTATCACCTGAGGAGCTGATAAAAAGAAAACAAGCACAGCATGCTTCTTCAAATGTCATAAGTCACACGCACAATGATAATTATGCGGGTCAATATACCATGTTCCACGTATAATGGGGGTAGGGGGGGTCTTTTGAGAACCCCCACAAAAAAATTACCAAATGTGAAAGCCACACAGCTGTTCTTCAAAATATGAAGAGCAAAGCAAACGAATGTGTAGCTTCACCGTTCGAGTATTGATGTTGCCAGTCTGGTTTTGCTGTTTATCTGCATATCTACATGCCGCGCAGACATGCCAAACGAACTGAGCAGTGGCCAGGTCGCTTTTGAAAAATAAGTTGACACCTCAGTTGGCTTTGCCTGGTACGATGGGGATGATTAAGTTGTATCTGTATGCGTTTGAGTGATGTCATTACCTTTCTTGTATTGTTTGTTGTTGTAACGTTCTTACCCGCCCAAACTGAACATCTATGAACAAATCTGTGTAGCTCGTTGGATTTTTCCAGTATAAATGCATATTCTGATTCTGAAACAATGGTCCAGCACCCTCCAGACAAAGTAAGTTCTTATTTTTTTTAATAGACAACTTTATTACCTTGATATTATTTTCAATTTTTTATATATGCTGTTGATTTATGATCGATCAACAAATTACACTACAAGAGATAAACGTGCCATTTGCGGTAGTTAAAGCGAAGAATGCGTGATGGATGAAAAAATTGTTGGACGAAGAAAATGAGTAAACAAGATGCAATGCTGAACAATACCGAGATATACTTACGCGGATTCGGATTAGGATCGATATAGGAATCCTCAGCTGTTTCATAAATCTAGGAAAATGTTAAATAAAAATAAACACATTCAAGACGTATTATGAGAAACGAAAAGAATAACACGTTGTATCAGAAGTGATGCGTTTTTATTTTTTTTAAATCTTGTAGCAACTTAAAATGTTTGAGTTAGGACTTGCAATTATGTACAGTATGTTGAGTAAAATGTATGCCATTGTGTTCTATGTATTAAATCTTGTTGGGGGAGAATATCATACTTTAAATAGTATTGTTATGCTTATACTCAATCTTTATCGTTCTTAGGTTCTGCTCTGTATGTGTGTCTCCGTTCCTCTTGTTTTTATGTTTTATCTTTCTTTGGAATTTTCACACTTAAATTCTAACTTAGCAATCTTTGAAATACGTAATCGACCAGGCTATGCGTTAATTGTGTGTTGACCGACTCTCTGTGTCGTTTTACATAACATTTCGATACTTTGCTAGGTTATTTAATTTAGTGTGTTCTGTCTCCCTCTAAGCCTGCTTACCTTACTTGCCCTCCCGTCGTACTCATTGACATGTAAAAAAAAAATGTCCCTACCCCCTCCCTCTCTCTGCCTCCGCCCCCTCTGTCTATTTAAGGCCACCCCACAGAGACGATCACCTCTCTCTGTACCTGGGTTGCTCTCTCTATGTATCTTGGTGATATCTGTCTGCTTACATGTCTGTCTATAGTTTTCTGGTTAGATTCTATGTCGCTATTTCATTATACCTGATGATGATTGCTTGTGTTGCAATCGAAACGTCGTATGCTATTATTTAATTTATTCTTTTATCTTTATACGTAACTTTACCGAAAAAACCAAAGAATGCTTATACTCACCTCATGTTGTGGTGGTTGTGGTGGTTGTGGTTGTTGTTGTTGATTGTTTTCCCATGGAGAACGTACACCGTCTGGTTTTTAAAATAAAGTAGCATGTTAAATACCAAGCCAACAATCGATTTATTTTTGTGAAGGTTTATGACAGTGTTCATTTAGTCAGATTTTCTTTCAATCATTTGAGTCGTAATCTTAAGTCTTGTCAATGATAATAATTTAATAATTATCTTTGTCTCGTCGACTAGACCAGTCAAAATTTAAGGTCATTGTCAGTCATTAAATGTTTGTCTAAGTGGGCTTTTCATTTTTGCCATCCACCACCAATGATTATGACATCAGCTAATCAGTGATCTCAATAGTCATCTCAATAGTAAAACATATTTGTATACAGCACATATAGTTCAAGATAATGTTGGGTCTTATTCAGTCTGCTGCTGTTACTAATAACATTGCTGTAATAAAATATCATAGTTTACACCATCATTCTTTTAAAAATAGCAGCTGACTTGGCTCTACTTAGGAAATAATAAACGATCGATTCTGAACTTATAGCTAGCTTTAACTCGTCAAATTCATCTTCTTGGTTCTTTCGGTAAAGTCACGTAGAAGGGAAATAATAAAATAATAAATAAATAAACTTTATTAAATTATTCTCACGACGTTTTGGCCACAACGCAAGCAGCCGTCCTCAGGTGGAGAACAGGTCTGTTGGAAAGACAGCGTCTGAATGTTCTGACAGACCTGTTCTTCACCTGAGAACGGCTGCTTGCGTTGTGGCCGAAACGTCGTGAGAATTATTTATTATGTTTTATTTGTATTATTTCACTGCTACGTGACTTTATCGGAAGAACCAAGAAGATGAATCCCTGCAGTCACGAAAGCTTTAAATCGAAATTCGTCAAATTCAGTCATTGCTTTCCTTTGGTAGCGGTAGTATTCGTCATGCTTGACAGTTGTCGAATAATTATTTGCTTCTTCATATACACGCATATAAAAAGCCTTTTTAAAGCAATGTTCTTCAGAGGGGAAGGGTTGCTGGTAATGTTGGCACAGTTGTTAGTGACGTTGCCCTCTGAACCCAGCTACCCGAGATTGATTCTCAGCCACGTCCAACATCAGTGGTGATATCTGAATCAGAATCTGTACTGATCCTGGAGAAATCCGATGAGCTATGAAGCACTTTTTTCCCCACATATCCAGGAGGGGTTGGATCTGACCCAATACGAGGTCCCCCCCACCACCATTACCCCTTCAGCAAACAACACCCCATGGGACCCTCATCCGGCAGTGAATTGTAAAAGGGATGTGCATCAGAGATCGCAACCGGGTACCCGTACCCTACCCGATACCCGGCTACCCGTACCCGGCAGGGTACGGGTAGGCCGTGAGTCACTGGTGAGTAACTCGAGATTTGAAGCTTTCGTGACTGCAAGGATTCATATTCTTAGGTTTTTTCCGGTAAAGTCACGTAGGTAAAAAATAGAAATCAATAAGCTATCGTGCTATGACAGTTCCACCTGAAGACGGAAGTTTGTGTTACCTCCGAAACGTCGTGATTTTTATTTTATTTTCATTAAAAATTTTTACCTACGTGACTTTACCGAAAAAACCTAAGAATATGGTGAGTAACTGTTTGTCACTCATTTCCCAACGTCTTGTCTCTTCTCACAATTCAAGTTCCTAGAATCAACCCACCCGCGCCTGCAACATGGCTTCATCCCAGAGGTCGCAATCAGGTACCCGATACCCGTACTCTACCCGTACCCGGCCGGGTACGGGTAGAGTATGGGTACGGCCGGGTACGGGTACGGGTACCCGTTTGCGACCCTGGTGCGGCCGGGTACGGGTAAGGAATCAAAACCCGTTTGCGACCTCTGATGTGCATTGCCATTACTTCTTATTCTTTAGTGGAAAAAGGGTACGTACCGATATAGGGTTTTTCAGCACTATTCGTCTTGTAAGAGAAAGGCATTTTTGCCTCTGGCTCGGGTTCCTCATACATGTCCTCTTCGACGGGCGAATCGTATTCACTGTCACTGGAACTCTGAGGAAGGCACACTCTCTGTGAGCAACAAAAGTCAACGCAGACCAGCGAGCTTGCTGATGACGAGTGCTGCCAATGTGGATCGCCCCTCATTCATACTACGCTCAGGAATGATGGGAACACAACGCGGTCCACACTGAACAATGACGCGAAATGTGTCACTGGCACACAACCACATGAAACACAATCTAAGCATGGTGCCCTCTCCCTAGCTGCTGTTGATGACGATATAATATAGGGTGACCCATTTATAGATACCTCACTAAATTTTTGTACGGCCCTTTTTCTTCACAACGGGTGGTTGGACACATTCCTGCGGAGGGAGCTGGCAGGAACGTTGGGTTGCTCGGTCAATGGCCAGGGTCAAAGGCGGCGTGGTGTATTCCGCAAATATACCCGACTGTGAGGGCGGGCACAAGCCGGCGTGAGTAGGTTAAACGTTGAGTTTTATAAGGGCACCACGGGGTGACCAGCCCCTCCCCACCCAGCCCCACCCCTCCCTCCCCACCAGCCCCTCCCCACCCTCCCCACCCAGCCCCTCCCACCCCCCACCCAGCCCCACCCTCCCCACCCAGCTCCTCCCCACACACCCAGCCCCTCCCCACCCTCCCCACCCTCCCCTCTCCACCGAGCCCCACCCCTCCCATGTTTGGATGCACGACGGACAGCCACAATAATCCCCTGTGGGCTGGTGTAACCAGGAGGTCCCTACCAGTAACATTGTGAACGTGATGGCATATCTTACGGAGAAGTGTGAAGATATTTTATAAGCGTATTCAAATTTATGGAAGACATGTAGAGGCGGTTGAATTATAAATTGTATTCTCCTTAATGTCTCCGTTATTTTAACGAGGTATCTATAAATATATCAGCCTCAAAGGAACATTGTGCAAATCATATTTTAACTTCATCTTAAAATATAGCAGAAGAACTCCTCCGTCAGCAGTTCTTCTGCTGTTTGTGTCACCTGGTGACGGTTGCTTGTGTTGCGATTGAAACGTCGTGATCTATTAATTTTCTATCCACGTGACTTTACCGAAAGACCCAAAGAGTATGGATTCATGCACTCACGAAAGCTTCAAATAAAGACTTAAAATATAATTTCCAAGACTAAATGTTTTTTTTTTATTCTGACAGGCAAGATATCTGCACATTGCATGTTATATTTTTACGCTACTTTTACTTTCAAAGTAAATTAAAGTATGTTTATTCTTTCATCACACGTGGATTTAATAGCTGAAAAGTGTCTTGTTAAAATATATGTCCTTATCCTACTGAAGTTGTACGTACAAATTCGTTGGTAGGCCATTCTTGGACGAGCTCTTCTTGACATTCTGCTGAGGATGAACACAAAATCAGAGTCATACGGATATCAGATTAAATATTCGAGACATCGTGCACGACACTGAACCCTGTAGACCTGTACACAGTATTGCAGTTCGCCTGACAGCTTCGTGTTAATCCTACAATGTTCACACTGAGCACTAGATGGCAGGAATGTAAAACAATTAAAAGTCGAGCGCGAGCGCTTCTTCATATTCTTGGTTCTTTCGGTAAAGTCACGTAGAAGGGAAATAATAAAAAAATATAAAAATAAAAATAAATTCTTAAGACGTTTCGACTGCAACACAAGCAATCATCATCAGGTGTGAAATACACAGCAATTTTTTTTTTATTTAATATGTATAGTCCATACTTTCACAGTACTCTTAACAAGACAAACGCGCCCTTCCATTCGTTTCAAATAGTGAAGCATAATTCATATCGGACCTTGCCAAAATGGAATTGTGAAGTCTGGGTTGCAGGTTTACTTTTTTACCGTCACTTTCTCTAAAGAAACGTCGTCCTATTTGAAGCGACTTTGCGTAATAAATTATTTAATTCAGCTCGACCTTCCTTTGCGTTAGTGTAAAAATCCACCCACTCATGAATATTAATGAGAGGGGGGGTGGGCCTCATGTTGAGTGACGTCACGCGCGGGACGCACAGACATTTCTGGGTGATTATAGTAGGCAATTTGAAATAATTCCAGTTTCATTTTAATTGTGCTTAATTAAATTCGGAATATTTAAAGTAATGTATTTAAAAGATGAATCGTGCAAGAATTACGTAGTCAATTTCAGCCGAATTTTTGTGAAAATATAAACACCTTAAATGCATGTTTAATTATATATAGGAGATGTACAGCATTATAAAATAAAATAAAAACGTATAGTTAGCTGCATTAGAGCGATGAGAGCAGCTTATGTTCCAGAGCAAGATGCATTGCTGCATCATGAGACCGTGTGAGATGTTGATGGCTTGGCGAATCTTTAGTCAGCAGTGGATTGATCACGGCTACTGCTACTACAGAAAGTAGCGTGTAGCCAATGTGCACGTTTATATTCTGCATGTAAACCAAATTTAAAACCAAGTCTTGTATTTTTTAGATTTTTTATATTGTATGATTAACACGTTGAAATGATATTCGTGGTTCTTTCGGTAAAGTCACAAGGGAAACAATTTTATTGTTTTCTATTTTCATTATTTTATTACTTCCCTTCTACGTGACTTTACCGAAAGAACCAAGAATATGAATCCCTGCAGTCACGAAAGCTTTAAATCAAAACGTTGAAATTAATCGAGATCTTGACAGCATATCATAATCGAGAGCCTCCCTATAATGCATCTATATCCCCAGGACTTCACGATAGTGTCCTTGTAATTGGCCCCGAGACTTTGCAGTCCATCAATTAGCTGCGAAACAATACGAAACATTTTTTTAACCCTGAAACAAGCTTTTGGAATTTAACTTACATCAAACACTTACCTGGCAGGTTACTATCCACGTGCAACTTAGCAGGCAGAGACGGTGCGCCCTGTTCGACATTCCTGTAATGATAATCCCGAACACACAATTTACACGCACGCAAAGAAGTGTGGCTATAACAATCTTCTGTTCAGAATATCCCTTTAGAATACCTGAATGAAGATGAAAGCGCAGACGTAGAGTAGAGCACGCCACAGAATTTGCACGAACGAACGACACTTCGAAAGCACATTTAGCAAAGTGATCATGTTGAAGTTCTGTGGCCAAGGCTAATTAGAGAATCTATCGAAATTGAGAGAAATAAAAAACAATTTAACCGTTCGGAGAGCTACAGAAATAGTGCTGCTTGGAAAGGAATCATCAAATAATACATTGTTTAAATGCATGCCTAGACAGGTCACTATACTGTTGAACAGGCAATTACAGGTACTGATATTTTAGTACACACAATCAACATGACGTACAATAACAATGGGCTTGCATAATGCACGTTGATTACCAAATAAATAACACAACCGGCAATGGATACCCATTGCTATATTGGTAGGAACCACCTGGTTCCACCAGCCCACAGGGGATTATTGTGTCCGTCCGTCGTGCATCCAAAAATGGGAGGGGTGGCGCTGGTTGGAGAGGGGAGGGTGGGGAGGGTGGGGAGGGGCTGGGTGGGTGAGAAGGGGAGGGTGGGGAGGGGCTGGGTAGGGGGTGGGAGGGGTGGGGTTGGGTGGGGAGGGGCTGGGTGCGGAGGGTGGGGAGGGGCTGGGTGAGGGGTGGGAGGGGTGGGGCTGGGTGGGGAGGGGCTGGTCACCCCGTGGTGCCCTTATTAAACTCAACGTTTAACCTACTCACGCCGGCTTGTGCCCGCCCTTACAGTCGGCCATATTTGCGGAATACACCACGCCGCCGTTGACCCTGGCCATTGACCGAGCAACCCAACGTTCCTACCAGCTCCCTCCGCAGGAATGTGTTTCATATGCGTTCATTAATCCCTCCCCCACTTCACTCAAGAAGACCTCACAAGTGACGTCATCACATCTACCCCTCTATTTAAGGAACGAAACAGGAGGATTTATGTACAAATCTGGCTGTTGCCTGATGAAGCTAGTTGTAATTACTGGCGAAACGTCGTACTCAGATTGTAAATGTGGATTTGCTCTCCAACACACCAGTGTGCTGTACTAGTAACGAATTGCCATGTTCTGTTTACGTGGCTGTGTCGGGTGGTGGCGGGTTTAATGACACATTTATATATTTACACGATCTTAACCCAAAAAAAACCTGTATTATGGATTTAGCGAAGTAGTTGCAAAAAAAAACGTGTTTATATTTATTTTAGGATATTATGGTAGCAGCATTACACAAAAAAATGCAGACAAAATACAAAATAGCACTTTTACAGCCAACAGATTATTTTTAAAAAATCTATGATGCAGCAAGCGTTTTACGTACAGTATATGTTACAATGCGATCAAGAGAGTATATCACGTTTTCAGTTTCCATTTGGTCTATACATTCACACATCTGCAAGTTCCGCTAATTACCAGAGGTGGGACAAAGTCATTGTTATGCAAGTCCAAGTCGAGTCTGAAGTCATCAAATTCATGACTCGAGTCTGACTCGAGTCCAAGTCACATGACTCGAGTCCACACCTCAGAGGTGGGACAAAGTCATTGTTATGCAAGTCCAAGTCGAGTCTGAAGTCATCAAATTCATGACTCGAGTCTGACTCGAGTCCAAGTCACATGACTCGAGTCCACACCTCAGAGGTGGGACAAAGTCATTGTTATGCAAGTCCAAGTCGAGTCTGAAGTCATCAAATTCATGACTCGAGTCTGACTCGAGTCCAAGTCACATGACTCGAGTCCACACCTCTGCTAATTACCATTGCTATTCGCTGTTTCTGAACGTCTGTACTGTACATTCATGTGGAATAATGGCATGTGATGTAAGCTCAATTTAGTTATGGTGGAAATAACTCACTTGTATTGTAAATTGTTTAAAAATGTGATCAAATACAATTGAAAGTACATTTTGAAAGTTTTGAAGCAAATAACAATAATAATGCTCGTAAAATGTTTGACATATTAACTATTCTGTTGATGCCCAATGGGACACAACAGTGTGCTCTGTTAAATAAAACATTTCAAGGTGGCTTAGAGGTAAGAGCACTGGGTTGGCTTTGCTGAGATCGTGGTTTTAATTTGGTCAGGCCTTAGTGAATAAAATGGGATAATCCAATCACCAATGACTGCACAAAAAAACACCTACATTAGTTTTGCTTTGGATTTGGCTACATGTTCATCCTTGAGGACGCAAAACATCACTTTGTCATCAACAAGCATGTACTCTTTGGCAAAGCAGGTGTGAAAAGGCTGCCCAAATACAGTGTGGCGCAGAGGTCACTTGAAAATACCTCAAAAGTAGTTGTGGCACATTAGGAACGGATCACTCTTTTAATTATATCCTTGTGCAGCAAGGGAGTAAAGTGTGGTTCTGTGAAAGTCCTGATGTGCTGTGCAGTACATCAATGCATGTGTGTACAGCAGCATGTGATGACTGAAACGGGCCTGTAGGTGGCTGGCAGGGTTATTGAATAACCACACTTGGACACCAGCCACATGGTTAATGGCGACTCGGAAGAATTGCTGTGTGTGACACACGTGCTGTTGCATTTTACAGAGTGACGCTGCTGTTCTTCACAAGATTGCTATTAACCACAATAAATGTGTTTGCCCTCGATTTGGAGCACCTGCTCACGTCCTTCATTTCGAGTGTGCAACATCGTCCTGCAGGAATTCATATTCCATGGTTCTTTCGGTAAAGTCACGTAGATGACTTTACCGAAAGAAACATGGAATATGCATACTCTTATTTTTTTCGGTAAAGTCACGTAGTTAAAAAATTTAAATTTAAATTAATAAAAATAAAATCATATTTTTTAGGTAAAAAATTTGATTAAAAATTAATAAAAATAAAATACTAATTTTATTAATTTTAATTTCTATTTTTTTACCTACGTGACTTTACCGAAAAAACTAAGAGTATGAATCCTTGCAGTCACGAAAGCTTCAAATCTAGAATGGAATATGCAGTTCTGTATAACCTCCTTCCACACACCATCATCTAACATCGAGTGATGCACCGCTCTGCTAGAGTTCCAAATTTACTCTTCATCTCATCACGTGATGCCAACGACACAATCAGGACAACATTGGGGACATAGATTAAACATTAATATCAATACTTGCCTTGCCTTGAATCCCGGCAGGTTGCGTCTCAAATTACGCTGGAAATCGTGGGCCATTTCTCGTATTAAACTGTGAAAAAGAAATGCACACACTCACGAATTAATACTCCGGTAACTTAAACCGTCAAGGCAAATAACGCATTCCTGCAACTGCCCAATAAAGTTTGGCAATGTGGCTACAACATTTGTGCGGAGGTAAACAGGCCGAGATGTCATATTGATCAGGTATACATTAAAATGATGAGACATTCATGAGATCATTATCGAGTTTAACATTTTGAAGTCGCGTATCGCATTTAAATGTCTATTAAGCCAGTTTATTTCTAATATGAGACAATTCAAATGGAATGTAACATTTTAAAAATAAGCAATGTCAATGTTGACATCGTTGTCTGATGTTTTGTTGTGTTGTACTGTGTTTTTCGCCACGATGTCCATTGCTTTGCCCCACGTGGAACTGAACATTTTACTGTATTCACGACAACAGTGCAGTCTATTCCATTACGTGCAGAAGCTTTCAGCAGGTTAAGCAAAACGTCGGACATCAAGCCGAACAGCATATTCGGTACAACACATCGCGCTCGCGGCTTCTTCAGGAAACGAATGTGCTGCTGAACAATAGAATTCATTTCCTGAATTAGCTCTCAGCGCACAAAGCAAAACGTCGGACATCACGTCGAAACACAACCCGAAGACACATTGGAGCGCAATACAGCACAACCGCAAACACAAACCTATGCAGTATTAACTTCGAAAGGTAAACAAAAAAATCGTACTCAATCTGTTACGGACTTGGGCTTCAACAGGACTAAGTAGCCTCTAGAACCTTTGTACAGAGGTGGGACAAGCAACATGCTATGGCATGTCAGCGTTTAAGCTTCCTCCTTCGCCGTGGCTTTTTGACATTGACCTCAAACGATTTCTTGCCACTCTCCACCCCCAATTTCACATTCCACAGCTCAACTTAACTTGTATACGTAAGTCCTTGTTCACACATTCCAGGAATTTCAATGGTGTCCAGGGAGAATCATAATTATGGTGTTACTGCCAACACTTAAGTTAAACACACTTTTGATAACAAAAGTAACTAATGCATTGGGTAGTGGCCGTACATTAATGTATTTTCTTTTTAGTGGTGACTGATAATCGATAATTATTCATTGACATGAGTGTAGATTCTGCATTAGCAAGTCCTCGTTCACTTTCCTAATACTAACTGACCTTTGAGTTTTACAACTACAGGTAAATCATTAAGCAACACAACAGCAAGGAATGTGTAAAACAGCATCAGCAAGTGAGACTACGCGAATGATACACGATTCACACTGAAGAGTGAAAATTACGGCGAGCAAAGAAAACATGGGGGGCATCGATAGTACCGTACTTTATGGATAGCATTTTTGAAATGATGAACTTTTTCATGTTTTATGCAACATATGTTCCCACCACCATGGGACGAAAATGCTCGTGCCAGAAAAATAAAGTTTTTAGATTTACGTGAATGATTAGCTCTGCAGGAGGAAGTATTTCGTTGCTTTGTTCAAGCAATTGCAAATCCCAAGCTCAATATAAATATATCCCAAGGTGATTCACCTTGCCCGTTCGTGATAATGAAAGCATGCACAGTTAATACAATTTATAAAATCTAAATCCATCAGTCAGTAAGAAGACAACCTGTGAGTCAAACTTGAGTCGTGCATGGGCAGTCTGAATGTTGCCTCTGCTCGGGGCAATGTGGGTGGCAGGATCGGTGTTTGCAGCAGCCTATGTTGCATGGGGGAGAAGGAGGTCTTCGACTGAGCACACATCCAACAAAGGCCGGTCATGTCCTTTTTATTATTACACGCTTTTTATTAACTCTGTCTGTTGTTGTTGTATCCTCAAATCTTGTAACTCAATTTTAACGCACTTCCCAATGTGGTATCGACTGCAAAACTTGGTATACGTATGTCATACTGATGACAATATTATATTCTATCATTAAAAATAAAAATAAAAACATTTAAACAATATTTTTTCTATGTGATGTTTCGGCTTGGGTCTAATTGTCCATGCTCAACTGACGTTGGCTGTAAATCACCACGGTCCCTTACGTTAGGGCAAGCTTTGAAGCCACTTCCTGGAGTCGTGGAGTTCTGCCATTACGGTACATTTCATTAAAGCGTGTTTAAACAAAATATTTAATGACTTATTCATGTTCAGCTTATGTGACTCTCCAACCTCCAATCTCAAAAGCTCACTCCCAAAACGATTGCCGGAAACAATTACGGCAGATCTCCTATTCATTACCCTGTTACCTGCAACTCCCATTGTCGGCAGAAGCTGTTGGGTTCATTAAAACATTAATTAAAATAAACCTAACGATTAATGTTATATAGGAACTGCAGGGACTGTGAGATGCAGTGAGCTGGCTCCAACAATTGTTCTGTAGTTATCTAGATATTAAGTTGTGTTCAGCCAATTACTGAATGCGTATACTATTGGGAGGAAACCGGAGTACTTGGATAAAACACAAACATGCGAGGGGGCAATACTCTATCCCAAGGGACATACTTTATCAATCCACTCTGCTGTACCGCATTATGCTGGTAAGTCGGGATATTGCACCGAGATGCCCACAGCAACTCAACCTGTCCAATCTCGTATCCCGCCTTTGATATGGCCACATCCTGGATTAATTCAAATCTGCTCCAGCGAACCATTGCCAAGAAACTGAAGTCCTCTTCGTTGGCAAAAAGCCACCTCTGAATAAAGACTTCACTTTGAATGTGCAACTTGACTATGATATCACACTCACAAAGGGTGTGTGCAACTCTGGAATACCTCCTATCATCACCCAGCAATATCTGTCCTTAACGCTCGTGACGTCACTTCACATCGACCAGCCCCCCTCATTAATATTCATTAGCAGGTGACGTCCTCCAAATGGACACCCCCCCCCCCCCCATTAACAATAATTAGTGGGTGACGTCACTCCACATGGGGGGGGCGGGGCGCCTCCTCCCCCCTCCTCGGCGTCAACTGACAACCCTCACTACGTCACGTGATCTCCGTAACGCTATTGAGACGTCAAAGTAAAAAGGACGTCATGATGAACAAGGGATTATAACCTTTAAATTAAATAAGTCTGTGTCACCGCGGCCTTACAAATTGCACACGAATTGATGCAATAAATATCACGTCACGGTCTGCTTTTCGCTTGCAAGTTTCAAATTTACTGCAATACACCCGTCCTTGGACGGGCAAAAGGCTAGCTATGTATGTATGTTGAACTTTTTTCGCACCGTACGTAGCCAACCGTGCTAATCGGAGGTGCGGGGGAATGACAACAAACGAACACGAAAGCAGTTCTAAAGAAATTAGTTTTAAATCTAGATTTAAATGGGTGAAGCTCCAGTGGCTCCCTAATATCGCAAGCAAGAGCATTGCAGATGGCTGCAGAAGTGCATCTGAAAGTGTGCGATGCAGTGACCGTCTTTGTTCGATGGTTAGAAAAAAAATGTCTGATGGTTATGACTGACCCCAAGCTCTCATTCTTTTCCTACATATTTCAACTCGACAGGAACTTCCAACCTCCACCTGTGCAACATCTCCCATATCCAGCATTCCCTTGCCCTGTGTGATGCTCAAACCCTCACCTGTGTCTTCATCACCTCCAACTTTAACATCTGCAATGCTCCTACTTCTCTCACCTCCAAGCTCAAAACATTCGAGAATGCCATTGCAAGACAGAACCACATGCCCCCAATCCTTAGATACCTCCAAAAGCTCCAAATCCACTCCTGAGTCGACTCCAAGATTGTCCTTGATACAGCAGTCGTGCTGTGACGGTTCCACCTGAAGACGGAAGCTTGTGTTGCCTCCGAAACGTCGTAATTTTTATTTTATTTTACTTTTATTAATTTATTAATTTAATTTTTTACCGAAAAAACCTAAGAATATGAATCCTTGCAGTCACGAAAGCTTCAAATCTAGAATTGTCCTCAAAATGTCCAAGGTCCTTCTTGATCTAACCCCTGCCCAACCGTCCCCTCTCATCTCGCTCAACTTTCCTGCATGTGCTCTCTGCTCCAGGAACCAAGGTTACCTGGCAAAACCCTCAATCATCCTCTCCTCAATGGGAGGTCGCCATGTACTTCTCTGCTGCTGGCCTCTTATTTTGGTCCTGTACCAGTTTAAAGGGTAAAAACCCTATCACGAAACTAAACATTGTTTTACTTTACCAGGTAAGGCCCACTGAGCTATATAATTATTTTTGCAGAAGCGACCTGGCCACAATTGATAGCTCAACAAAGTGGCTTATCGCGAGGAAATGTATAACAGGCAAATGCGCTCAATGCATATTTCTACACGTGGAGGGAAAAACCGGAGGATACAAATCTACGTGACCATGGGGAGAACATGCATACTCCCAATACACAGGCATCAGATCGGGATCGAACTCACGACCTCCCGTATACCGGGGGAGGTAGTTAACATCTCGCCACCGTGGCACCTGCGTATGACTGTCTCCTATCTATTGTATAGTGTTTTCAACTGCATCTCACTTCATTTTAAAAAAAATTACACAAAGTATCTATCTCACTTTCATCCCAATTACGTACATGTCCCACATTTTTGTACAAATGCTTGAGATGCCGTTTGACTTAGACCCTCTATAAATATGAACGGCACTGTAAAACCAAAACCGTAACATTTAAGAGAGGTTCACGAACTTCAATGTCCGAACAATGGATCGGTTGTGCAGTGACATCATCACAACATATTTAAGGGCAAGTTTATCCGTGGACCTTGATATTTGTATGTTCATGGTAAATCCTGCTCAAAACGATCTTCCCGTTTGTTCTCTACTTTTGTCCTATTTCTCTTTCAGAGTCGTGTACCATTGCTATGTTATTTGGAGCTTCGCGTTTCACGTGACAATTTAAATACTGTAAGTTTTCAACACACAGTGTGTATATATATACATTAATCTGTACTTAAACAAGGGTGTGTTCATATATGAATGTAGTACTCACAATTTGAAACGTATCCAAATGTATGCAGGCAAATGAAGAAAAAAAACACTAAAGTACACTTGATGCTTGCAGACCTTAAGCTTGTCTCAAAACTTGGAAGTAATGCTCGATTTTTTTTTTTTTGGAACATTTCGTTTAAAAAATATCAGGTCGGTCGTGGAAAAAAAAGTGAGTGGGCTGCCAAAAAGTAACATTTGCATAGAGATATCGTCCAATGGCAAGCTGTGCAGATTTCACAAACCGTGCACAGGCGGCATGCATGCATGATGAGCCGAAACCTGGTATTGTTGTCCTTGATTGTGCACTGATACGCTGTTCTTATCATAGCAGCTACATCATAGGCATATGGTAACTCCACACTGGTTTTTCCAGACAAGTGGATACATTCATACATCTGAAAGCCAAAACCTCAGCAAAATTGGGACGGAAATTGGTGTAATTCAAGGTTACAAGAAGGAGACGTCCACTACGCATTTTGGTTTTATACGTATCATTAGTCGATACGTATCAGTCGATATGTAAGAACAACTCTGTGTGCCTATGTGTGTGTCTCTCTCTGTGTGTCTCTGTGTTATCTCTCTCTCTGCGTATGTGTCTGTCTATGTGTCTCCGTTTCTGTGTTTTGTCTCTCTCTCATATTTAGCAATCTTTGGAAGAACGTAATCAACCAGGTAGGGTTTTGACTGTTGTGTTAGCCGACTCTCTGTGTTGTATTGAAGTTTACTAGGTTTGTTTTCTCTTTCATTTGTACCTGATGACGATCGCTTGTGTTGCAATCGAAACGTCGTATGCTATTATTTTATTTATGTTTTCTTTCTACGTGATTTTACCTAAAGAATCAAACAACAACTTTGAAGAAGTAAATTATATAATCTAAACACCAATGCCGATC